TTTGAAAGAAAAAATGGCAAAGAAGGCATATCACCTGTCAAAATGCAGCCTGGAGAAGGTACAACTTGCTAATGATAAATCTATTTACATTTCAACCAGCAGTCTGTAATAACGCTGTAAATATCAGAAATGCATAATTCTGTCAGGCATCAGATTTTGGCCTCTAAGTTGTGAAAATGTCATATGTGATGGCTCAATTAATTTGCATGAAGCTGAGATGCTGCAGCTAAACTAATGGTTTTTTGTTACTAGTTATGAGGTGGAAGTCGAGTGGCTCACATAACTCATGTTTAACAACCATCCTCTGCCAAGGTAGCATAACTTACTGAATGAATGCTCCTTCAAATTGCCACCTAGTTAAAGTTTATTTGTTGTGTGAGCATATGGAGTTTTTATTTTATTTTTAGATTGTGTTCTTTGCTTAGGGATGATCAAATAAAGATATTTCTATGATACAGTACTTGTATTAAGGACTTCATATTGATGTCATTTGTGAAGAGACAATCTTACTGCAAGCACATAAGAAACAAAGACCACTCATTGGTCTCATTGTTTTATTTGTATATTTATACCTCAAGTATGGAGATTAATACAAAAACATTTTGTTACCGAAAGAAGTTGATTTCTATGAAGTTTGTATAAAAAAAGTAAACCAACTCTGCTTGATGCTTGAAAAAGTAGCTTCATTTAAAAGCTGTCTGTAGTGACGCTAATAACCTGCGGCTGCACTCTGTTCCTGTTGCAGCTGAAGAGCCAGGCTGCCCTCGTGTGGCGATAGCGCTTTGACAGCAGCACATACAGTACAGGGTTGATGCAGGGATGCAGATACTGTAGCATTGTACAGACAAAGTAAAACATCTCCCAAGCCTGTCCATGGCGATACAGTCCCAGGTACACGCACAGCTCAAGCACGTAACCAGGCAACCAGCACACAGAGAAAGTAGCAGCAGCCAAAAACACCATGACAGAGGCTCGGCGGGTGTTCCTTGCGCTGGACACAGACATAACTGGACTCTTGTGGAGAAAGAGAGCCAACCGAACGTAGTTGAAGGCGATGACAAGCATTGGGACAAAGTAGTAAAGCACAAACTGGCTGAGGACCACTTGGTAGTGGTGGTCATGAATGGTTGGGAGGCAGAAGGTGAAGTTTGCCATGTTCGGACCCAGGCTGTCTTTGTTTGCAAACATACGCAAAGGTAGGCTGATGAAGAAGCTGAGGGCCCAGACCAGGACAAACATAAGGATGACCAGGTCCATGGTAGGCGGCTGGTACGGATTGGTTATGATCATCGCACGGGTCATGGACACGGCACACAGAGAGTAGGTGCTGGCGGCTAGGCTGAAGGCCAGCATAAACTGGTAGACCTTACAGGAGGTGTCACCCAGAGGCCAGGAGTGACTTACGGCAGAGTGCACGGTAAAAGGGATGAGCAGGAGGGTGAGAAAGTCGGCCAGAGTCATGCTGAGGAGGAGAATGTCCAGTCGGTTCTTACGCAAAGTGTTGTATTTGGCGAACAGAGAGAAGACAAGCAGGTTGGCACAGAGCCCAATGGCCAGTATCACTCCACAGGTACAGGCAAAGATCAGCCCATAGGTGTTAGGAACAGCCATGTTATCACCGACTTGATATCACCTTTAAAATAAAAGTTATGTTAGTGTTTTCCCCATCGAGTTAAACTTAGTCCATGGCTAAATTAAAACATCAAATACTGTTTTTGAAAAAGCTCCCCCTTTTATGAGGTTTTGATGCTTTGTCATATATTTTAATGATCACATTGATCTTAGAATAAACATAATGGGCATCTTCTTTTTATATTATGTGCATCTTATCACAAACAAAATATCTGTCAATGTTAATATTAACAGATCTTGAAATTGGTTGTTGGTTGCTGTCCCATTTTTGTTGGTCCTTCTGAAACATGTTATATCAAGACTCTCAAAACTTTTTCTTCTTGCTTGACTAAAATGCATTGGTTAAATATCAATATTATTTAAAAGCTTTTGTGGACCAATAAAAATACAAACTGTATATGTGATACAATTTTATAAAAACATGCCTATATTAAAATATCCAACAAAAAAAGGTTTTTACACAGCAGTAAAGTCATCTGTTATTATTATTATTATTATTTAAAACAGCTTCTCTGTGGTGTGTTATATTTAAACTGAAAGTGTAATTTCCTACAACAGGTATTTGTCTTATCTGAGGTTGTTACATGTTCAAATTTTACAATAGAATAATGATCATTTTCATGTACTCACCATTGTTCCTCAAAGCAGTTTACACAGACACGTGTTTTTTAGTGAACCATCCTCCAAATTCAAACTAAAGACTTTACTGTTGTCCATCCTGATCAACTGGACAGATGATGGGAGAGGTGGCAGACTCTCACGACTCATTACTAAGCGTGATTGCTAAATGTGGAGAGAAGAAAGGCAAACATCACTTGGGTCAAATTAATTCTGGTTGACCAGGTTTAAATAGAAATGACCAAAGACCAGCTGCTGAGAAAACACTGATACTTAACATTCCTGTTTTGGTTTAATTATTGGAGGACGTGTTTGCACCTTTTGGTTGTTTTCAGTCACTTTTATCTGTAGTAACTGCTAGATTTGACCTTATAAGCCTTTGTTTGACTTTTTGATGTAAATTATAGTTGATACATTTTACTGACCTTGTCTGACCTGTTATTGTCATAGTTGCAGAACCGAATTGTAAAATATATTTCTGGACTTAATTCGCATTGTATGAAGTATATTTTAGAATCAGCTCTCTTTGAACAACAGGCCTGTCCATTGATTACCTCGTCTGTTCCTCCCCTTCTCTAGAGAAGTTAATGTCTCTGTCCATTGTTTGATTGATTTCTTCAGTGTAAGCTGTAGGATCCTGACGGCAGCTTTATCAGGCTTTCCACAGCATTTATGACTCTCTGTCAGCTAATGGCCTACGGTGCACACTGCTGCTCTTAGCACAGGATATAGCTGATGCTGATGCATTTGCTTACCCTTCCATTACCCGTTACTGTGCTGTGCAGTGAGCAGCTGTTAAAAATGCCCCATGTTTTCAAGTGGGACGTTAACAGCTTTGTTGTGTTCGTTCTGTGCCAAAAGTCAACAAAAACATCAATGTTATTAGTTTCAGGCTCATTACCTTAATTGTGAATTTTATTAATGCTCTTTGACCCAAATCCCACTCTTCTTTTTTTCAGCATTTGACTCCCAAACCATCGTTATAACAAGTTTTAATGGTTGCAATTAGATATATAAATCCGTAATAAACTGACCAAAATCAATAGCAGTTTCACCCAAAAACTGGCTTGTCTCAAAGCACAGATTTGTCAGAAGTCGGGAGTACAGGCTACACTCTACTTATGGAAACAGTAAGAGAAAAATGTAGATTGTGAACGCAAAATGAAATAAATGAGTGGAGAAAAGCATTAGGAAGTTTACATTTGACCTTTTAGTTGACTAAGAAGACACTCAACTGGAAATTAATTTATCAACTATTTGTATATTATTTAATTGAAGCAAAACACTTTTTAAGCCAACCTAATGGAAATTTATTGGTTTAAAGATTTCCATAGTTGATGTTTGATGCTATTTGACTCGTGTGTATTTAATACTGAATTTGTTTGTAATTTGGGCTGTTGGATGGACAACACTATTACACAACACTAGCAATTTGAAGTGATCACCGTGGGCTCTGAAATTGTGACAGGTAGTTGTGTTAGCCATTTGTGGACACATTGTTTTAAGACACAGTTAAATACAGAATAATTGGCAGATTCATTAAAAAAAAAAAAAACGCGATCAATCGTAGATTAACATCAGGTTTTGTGGATGAATAAGTGCTTGTTTAATAAAAAAAGTTAATACTGCTATTTTAGACTTTGACTCCAACTGATACAATACACACTTAAAATATAAAATATTTTGGCTAGAACTATGTCATTATTTTGATCATTAATTATTTCTTCATATGTGAGAAATGTTTTTTTGCTCAAGTTGATCTTTTTAGATCTGTTTTTCTATTCGATGAACAAATCCAATATGTTCAATTCTGTTTCACGAAAGACATTTGGAGGGATCCTCATTTTCTGAGAATCTCAAACAAGGTAACATTTAGCAGTTTGGCTGGAGCCAAGCTACTTCTTTATACTGATGTAATGATAGCTCTTTCTTTCATAAAAGCTACATGTTTGAGTTGTGTTTTAATGTTGAACAAAGACACCATGAATTATAAGATATTTCTAATGGCTACTCTTTTAATGTTTCATAACTGGAAATATATACAATATGCCCTCAGTGCAAAGTTAGATCATTAAATGAGTCTGCTGGCCCCTGACTCAGGCGCGTTCTATCAAAGTTATATACAGTATGTAGGATGGTTGGGTTGTATTTGAAGAAGTAATCCGATAAGTTACCAGAGGGGAAAGAAAGCGGGACCATCAAAAAGAAACATCGAATTGGAACTCAACCACACAAGAACATGTACAGGATATAATTAAAGTGCATTATGGAATTTAGTCAGCAGCACTGCAATACATTCACAAAATAAATACACACTTACAAAGTGAAATAAATTATGGCAGAACAGTTCCGACAGATGTACCCAGTGAGCGGTTTGCATGTAACTCAGTCCAAGATAGCTGACACATATCGAGTCAAACAAAAGGCGACCCCTTCTGCTTTTAAGCTTTGTGAAGAAACATTATATTCAGGCAATAAATAATTTCCTCCTCTGATCTACTTGTTCACACAGCATTGTTTTTGAGTAAATCTGGGACACTGAGGCCGAAAGATTTTCAGATAAATATGGATCAAATATGATATTTTGACAAAAAAAATCAGGGAAAACAAAGCACACTATTAAAAGCACAGTCCCAGGGTCTTAATATAAAGTGACTGAGTCAGTCATGTGTTGAGTCTCTCAGATCCAGTCTAGTTGAAGCTATGTCAATGTCTTAGTGCAGTACCATACAAACACTAACTGAAGTCTCTTAGTCAGGACACTGCATCCTCCATGGCTTCGTATTTTTAACCGAGCGTGCTCGTCTCCGCTTCTTGTTCTCACTCTCTCTGCGTCGACCTAACCTTGCCTTCTTTTTCCTTTTAGTGGCCACTTTGAGCGGCTGGTCCTTATAAGCCAGAGCCTTGTTGGTCTCCTGGGGCAGGTTAGAGCCATCTCTGTCCGGTCTGAACCTGTCAGGGAGGTTTTAGAGGCTCCTGGGGGCTTGTCAGGCAGGGCATTTCCACTAAAGGTTTGGCTCTGGGTTCTGCTCTGCACAGGTGGTGCTCGGTCATCAGCTGTGTGCACCTCCTCCAGCAGCTCATGCAGCCACATGCGACGCTTGAACTCCTGCATGGAGCGGCCCTTGTCGTGCATCAGCTGGGCGTGGCTCACTGACCTCTTCCTTGAAGCACAAAAATATACAGATTGAGATCAATAAGAATGGTTATAGAAATACAAAATAAATAAAAACATCCTCAAGGGTCCAGGTTTAGCTTAGTTGGTAGAGTGGGAACAGAGGCTACAGTCTTCGCCGCACCGGTTGCAGGTTCGGATCCTGATTCTGTGTGGTGCATGTAATCTTCCACTCTCAACCAACATTTCCTGTCTGTTTATACCTGTCCTATCAAATAAAAGAGAAACCCAAAAAAGAATCTGAAACAAAAAAAAAAAAGCATCCTCAATTTGCATGTGCCTTGAGAGGGGACTTTGGAGACTGTTGAATATCTATTGTTCTGTAATGTAAAATTCTCATCACTTTAATAATGAGACAGTTAAAGAAGAATGCAATATTTCTGAGCTAGCATTATTTTTTGCCTTTCTGAATTTTTAATGCCATGGTACAGTAAAGTGTTGAGTTGATTTGTGGCACACCTTTAGAAGTGTTGGCATCTGATGTCTAATGTCATGCACCAGGAAATCTCAGTCAGTACAGTAGGTGGCAGCATAAACGTAAAGTTACTGAGAGCCGTCACTATTCTGATCTCAGAGATAAAACAGAGAAGATCTCCTGTACATTGATTTAATCTGTACATGTAGGCTTTTGTTTAGTTTTCTAATTTCAAATAATTGGTTTCCTCATAATTGTAGCTTGACTTTGTTTATTTATGAATCACTTTTTCATTTAAGTGTTGAATTTCAAAGCATTCATTTTATTCAGATGGTCTTCATGATTAAATCAAACATAACTTACGTTCTGCTATTAAGTGCATCAACTGGTCTTCCATCAAGAGTCACTGGGGAGCACAGCAAGAACACAGCCAGACTCCACTGATGAATCAGGACTATTGAGCACATCCTTGAGACTATGATCTAAAAAGCACACAAGAAAATTTATCAGCCACTTAAGTTTACCAAGCAACCTTGTTTTGTGAATAAACTCTGAACTTCTTATCCGCTATTCAGTAGTGAAGTCAGCAGTCAGTCTAGACTGCTGAAAAAGGGAAACTGTTCCAGCTTAAATAAGATCTCCATTCAGCATTACTTGTGCTAATAAACAGTTTGTTATTGTAAAAAACAAAACAAAAAGGTTTTTACTTACTTGAAAGAGATGTTCTTGTTGCAAAAATCAATGACAAAATTTTAAAAGAAAATGATTGTGGCTTCTACATTATGGCCAGTTCAAAACTTGTGTCCAAATCCATTGCAGTGGAGGCAGCCTGGGGAAATCCCCTATCAGTCTGCTCCATTCATTTGCCTCCCAACAGTGAGTGTTGAGCTATTTATTCCTCCCTGGCGTCCCAATTAAAAGAATGATAAAGATGAGCAGCAGCAGCCCATCAGATGCCTCTCTGCCTCTCTGCTCAGTCTTGCAGTAATCTCATAAAGAGTAACGGTGAAGCATCTTCTCTGGTGGCCGGAGCCGGAGAGCTGAGTGGGTTTTCAGTCCAACACTGTGAGCCAGTCTGTCTGAGAGCAGCACAGAGAGAAACTCAAACTCTTCTCTAGGAGAATATGCAGGCACTACCTTAGCCCCTACCCATTAAGTCCAGTTGTAGCACCGTACCCAGCCTCCCCATCCCTCCCCTCTCTTCCTCCTCTGAACCCTTCACACACACCTGCTGTGACAAGAAGGTGGCGCCCATACAACCTCCAAGCCACACAACAAAGAGGATACTTAACCTGGGAATATGAAAAACCTTTTTAATATTCAGTTAGTTTCAAATAATTTCAGCTTTACTTTCTTATTAAAATTTCCTCATAAACAGGTTAGAAATAACAAGCATGCACCAAAGGTGATAATCGTGGGTTTACCTAGCAGAGTGTATACAGGGAGAGGCAGGGTTACTCCAACATAAACAGCCAGGCCTAACCACTTTCCCAGGGGAGAATGACCATAACCTCAGAGAAACCTAACCCACAGCCTCTCACTGCAGACCATTCAACTCACCTCCACTCTGCCTCAGCAAACCAGCTCACCACCAAATGGTTACAGTGGGCTCTGAGGTATCTCTTGACTTCAGCTAATAAGGAGAGTAGCGAGTACTGTTTTGAGCAGTGCTCGACATTTTAACTGGCCCGCTGGCCCGGACACACAATTGAAAGACTCCAGGCAAGCTGATTGCATTTTCCACTGGCCTGCTTGGGCCAGTTGACACACTGTCTTAAAAATAAATAAAAAACTGTAGCATATAATGAATAATTTCAAATCATTTTCCTGTGATACTGGTGTTTTGTCAGTGATTGTTTTAAGATAATCTAATGAGTTAATTAATTAGTGCATCAAGATGTCTTCAGTGTGCATGTGAGTCATAAGTTAAAGGCAGCTGCCAACACTTTCACTGGTGATGGAACATTTTAAATAAAGAATTAAGAAATTCACGAGAGGCGCCAAGGAAAATAAGAACAAAGTATGATAAGAGTAAAACCAGCTAATAACAGAGAAGTTAAAGTAGAACTCAATGAATTAGAAAATATAATTTTTTAATAACTTTTGAAACAGATTGGTTAATTTTCTTCATTTTGAAAGTAAATGAAGTCCTGTTCTGACTGTTCATATTGATGTTTGAGCTGTCAGGGTGTAGGATGCAGAGCAGGAGGGGATAGCTCACTCACAAATCATCAGATCATCAATCTAACGGTATTTTCTCTTCCGAAGCTCACGATCCAATTAAATATCATCCAACGTGATGTCCCGCCTTCTCTCTTGTGATTGGTTCTATCCCGTTTCAGTTCGACACATGTCACAACACTGAAGTCAGATACTCTGGCTTCAGGGTTTTTTTCTTACTTCTTTCTTTGTCTGGAACAATTGTATATATTATTCTTTGCTTATCTATGTTTATATTCAATGTTATAATTTTGTATACTGAGAGCACAGTTCACTGAAGCCAATTTCCATTTGTTTGTAAGCATACATGGCCAATAAAGCTGATTCTGATTCTGAATTGTCGTTTTTAGTTCATAGTGCTGGCAGCTTAAAGTCTATGGGGGGGTGAGGATCCTCATGTACTTTGGGCGTTATTTTTGTGTCTACTGTACCGGTCAAAATACACCAAATGGTTTGAAAAAATCTTAATCTGCATCAATTCCCAGACAATGCAATTAATAATACTGTGAACCACTGACTGTAAACCTAGCGTCAACATGTTAATGTGCTTATGTGAGCATGTAGGCACAACTACAACCCCACAGAGCTGCTTTCATGACCATAAACTCTTGTATGACTCTGGACTCCTTACTTATTTTTAAGGATTAATTTATAAAATGAAATGGAGGGGAGGGGTTTAGAAGAATACAGTCCATTCAAAAACCTGAGTCATTTATGTGGTTAATGTACCTACTTGCCCTGTTTTACTGGATGGAATAACTTGCATTTCTCCTCATGAATAAAACCCATAAATAATTTCTGTGAGCAGTGATGATTAGTAGAATCACTTTTGGCTAGACTGTAGACCAGTTGGTGGTAAATAACTTAATAGAGGGCTCAGTATTTTAAAAGCAGTCATGATTCAATTCAGTAAGGGGTCCAGAAGGGATTTGGGGCTCGGGCAAAATATATGGCAGACCCCCCCTGCTGTCTTCAAAATTCAGCTTTCTTCTGTTTCCAGCCAGTCTGCCCCAAACGTCCAACACTTTAACATTCGGTAGGGAAAAAAATACCTCATTCGATTCCTTTCAGCTAAGGCTTTACCTGCAAAAAAAATTGAGTAAAAAAAAAAAAAAAAAAAGAAGAAGAAAAAAAATCCCATTTCCTGGCAGACAGCAGCATATGGAACAGGAGCCAGGAAAGCTGCTTTTGATTCATGCTAAATTGCACTCTCAACACTGAACAGTATTCCAGTTCGTTTTTCATCCTTTTCACACTGCACCTACTTAACAATCACACATACAGAACACACACAGACACACACACACACATACACACCCACCCTTGTTTCAAAGAATTTTAACTGTGCTGTTCCAAACATCCAACTCATACACACTTACAGAGAAACACCCCTCATTTCATGTATAAATTCAGAGTTCAGCATCTATTTTTGGATTAGTTGTACCCATTCCCTCTAATGACCCACCCTATTATGTCATAAATCTGGGCTTTAGTTGCTGTAACAGTTCCTGCTTTTGTTTTGGAGTTGCATTCAAAATCACTACGCACTTGGCATGTACATTACAATTCTGTGCATGCCAGTGCTAATTCTCACATTGGAAACACTCTAGTTCTGTCAACATTTACTATTATTTTAATACTATTTTACAGCACCTTTACTCCCTCCAGCTTTAAGTGAATTTGAACACTGCTGCAAAGTGAAAAGTGAAGACATGTACATTCAAACATTACATTCTTGTTACATTAAACAATCAATACAGTTTTGTTGAAAAGAACATTTGACAAACTTCTATTCAACCTGAAATGTTATGTATAACCATATATTTAGCTGTAAAAGAACACACAATCAGATGATTCACACTAGGGCTGGGTCTTGGCAAGGACCTAACGATATATGTATCGGGGTTCATTTGAAATACCATTCAAAATTAAAATACAGTTTACTGTATCATTTAGTCAAAATAGTGGTGTGCGATATATAACGATCTTAGACCGTGAAGGATTAGAATGTGTTGATGATCTGCCAAAGCAGGGAGATCGTAGAACCGGGCAACAGTGTTATTTCTGTCATCTTGCAGTTTATGCTCCTACACAGACGCGTCTCCACCTCCCTGTTTGCTCCGCAGCGGAGCGGGATTCATCTGTGAAAATGACAACTAAACATTAAAACAACTCCATCCTGGTTATATGCAACTGCTTTGATATTTGTGTATCAAAGCAACTGCTTTGATACTGTATAACCCTGGTGTTTAAAATGTTGGTGCTGAGGTGTTTTCTGCTCTCTCTCGGTTTTATGAAAGTTACTAACAAACCTCTCCACTCAAAGCTCACCTGTCGTGATAACAGAAACTATAGAGATTGGGCTAAATTATGTGATGGAACAGAGGGTGGCGATCATATCAGCGAGGTCCAGACCTTGGCTGTTCATTTTTTGTAACAGTAGGCCTACAATCACTTATTTCTATACATTGATTTCCCTGCATGCTGCTTGAAGTGATGTCAGTCAGCAGCTCGTTCTCCTCTCGTTCAGTGTGCAGGTGAGAGAATGAATAAAACACTTCTTTCAGTAGAAGTTACTTTGATCATGTGTTACAGAATGAACACATTCTGTATTATATTTGATTATATGTAGACAAAACTAAAGTTAGCCCAATAATGTTATAAAAAACAACATAACCTATAAACAAAGGCTGCAGAGCCTGTTTGAAGCTACAGTTGTATGAATTCTGAAGGGCTAAATAGCACAGAAACATAAGAACATGTTTACATGTTTTCAGATGAATGCATCACTGCCTGAAAATGTTCCTGATCAACACAAAAAGAGGACACATTACTAAATCATAATTTCAAAGTGGTGCTGAAAACCTTCAAATTGTGCATAAATATTGATCAAATCAAGGGAAAGACATTTCTGGTGCTAAAAAATGTTCTGGGGGGAGACATCCAGACCTCCTACAAAGACGTTTTTCAAATACTATACTAATTAGCACAGTTTTTGTGCATTTAGAAACATTATACAGGGACTCCTTCCATAACAGATGACTGACGTCACTCAGGCTTCGTCCATTAATATCTCCAGTCTATGGTTGGATTCCATTATCACAGCAGGTGATCCGTGAGTGAAAAGGCTTAATACAAAACTAAGAGTGCTGAAAAACATAAGCAGTCTGCTTGCGAGTAGCATTGTTTGAAAGCTCAGGATGATGTGCTGCTAGGTGGAAACTGAAACAGGTCCACGTGGTTAGAA